ATTTTCAGGAAAATAAGTTTTTTTTAAAAAAAATTGTGATCAGTACAGAATCACTGAGAAAACATATAGATTTCTTATGTAGAAGTAGAAAGAAATCTGGCACTAGTCCAGTGTATACTAACTGTGGGCTCCACAGTTTCACAGGATTGTAATATATATATATATATATATATATATATATATATATAGAGAGAGAGAGAGAGAGAGAGAGAGAGAGAGAGAGAGAGAGAGAGAGAGAGAGAACAATCCAGATGGAAGCCATTTAATTGTAGAGTGTAGATAGAAAGTGTCTTCCCATCCATCTTTCACAAGAAGAAACACACTGCCAATGAGAAATATGGGACCACCGATTCATATTCCAATTGATATCGCTGCTGTTAGATGTTTTAATGCACTCATCTCTACCTCCTAAAGTGTAATGTACCTTATTGATATAAATTATATGCAAATAGGCAGTAGAACTACGAATTCTAAAGATTCAAACAAAAACCTAGGATATTGTTCTATTGGATTTGAAGGATAATAGCTAACTAATCATAATTAATAATTCTTTTTAAATTGCAAATCCACAACTCCAGGGGCTCAGGATTGAAATGAAGGGTCCTTGGTTCTCTATGATCTTGCTTGTTTTCTTTCAGCTATTTCATTACCCAAACTACAGTTCCTCATCAGTGAGTACCGATATTAGGTAGGTAACAGTGCTCACTGATGATGTGCTGTAGTTTGGTAATGAAACATCTGCAAGAAAACAACCAAACTCAGAGAGCACCAAGGACCTTCAACCTACATTGGACCAGTATGGTAAATTATGGTCTACAACTTCAATGAAGAGATTTTTATTCTGCAATGGATTCATTTGGGCTACTCATCATAACAATATGTGCATGTTTGTCCCATCTCTCTTTGGAGTAGTTTATTCCATTTAGACTCCCATATACGTTTTCAATGTAAAATATTAATTTGTTATTGTGGTTTCTGATCTATTACAATGCTGTAAATTGGAGGAAATCAACTTTCACTAAAGGAAAAAGTCATCAATTTGTTTAAGTATGATTTCAAATTTTACTTTTAAACATTGATCTTCATAAAGATTCAGACAAAAAGAAACGGTCTTTTGATTAGTGTTGATCTGCTGTTAATTAACAGTTCCGTCCCGTATTTTTTGTTGTACTTTCAATGAAAATACATCATTCATTTTAATAGTCTCCTTTCTGACCCAGATACCAAAAACTTAAATTACATAAATGATAAATATTTAAAAATTAGATGGCTGAGCTGTGAACCCCCAATGATTGTGAGATATTTTCAAATAATTCTCTATTAAAGGAATTTGATCACCACTGTGGAAAATAATTCAAGAATATGTGCTGTGCTATCTTTCTACTCTACCCTTTATCCAATATCTGGGGGTGCATTAGTACCCTGGAGCTGTATTTGATACATTTAATTGTTTGGCTAGAATATATTGCTTAGAGAAAGCCTCTTGCTATCTTTGAGGTGGGATAGATTATTGAGGTCAATTTACCAGCCTTCTGGGGGTGGGGGGATCCAATGTTTTTAAAACGATATCTTCCAACTCAGCACAGCAGCACAGTCCTGTTTTTCCCTTATCTCTTATATTATTCAGGTGATGCAGTGACAGGTAATCATTGTACTATGGCTTAACAGAATCTAAATTATATTTTGGGAAAGGTTAGTTAAGTGCATGGATGTTCAATTCTTCTGAAATAGCCCAGACAAAAGGGTCATAATGGAGATCAGGAAACTGATTTAATACTCTTTCTGTACAGGATTCTGCACTTAATTTCTCACACTAAATACTGAAATACCATGTCTGGCCCAAATGGAAATGTTTGTGTGATAGGAAAAGGAATATCAAGTTTAGGATGTTTAGATCAGTACTGCTGCAGGTGATAAAATGCACCACTTCAGTAAGAAAAATCAAGACACTGAAAACAAAAGCTATGAAATCTCATAAGCTTCATGAGTGTAATGTCATACAACATTAAGCATAACATCTGGGGATGAATCAGCCAGGTCTGCCAAGAAGCATAGTCAGATGGGAGTCCATCAGAGTGAGATGGGTAGCTATAGAAATTGAATGAATGAATGAATGAATGAATGAATGAATGAATGAATATATGGGGTTGGCTGATACTGTGGCCCTGCACTACACCCAAGGAACTGTAGTGCTTCTGGACCTATTAGTGCAACTCAGTGAAATAACCTGGCTCCAAAGTCAATAGAAGAGACAACCCAGGCTGGCTGCTTAGCTGAAGATGCTCCTTCACCAGCTGCAAGAGGAAGTATTTGAGGTTGTGATAGTGCTTGCAGCAGTCATGTGTGACCAGTAAAGATACACAGAATTGGCTGTCCTTCAACTGATGATGTTCAGTTTCTACCTATTTGGTCAACTCTGGCCTATCTTTCTCTGTTCTGTGTGAATTATGATTGGGATTGATTGTTGCCCAGTTAGCAAATATCCCTGCATTAGTGATATCATTTCATAAACATAGACCATTACTATTTCATTGTGTTTGCCAAATGGCTGTGAGTACTCATGTCACCATCTCAAAAGAAATTGGAGAAAAGGGAATACAGTAACAGCTAACAGGAAAAACAAGGGGAAAAAAGATGGGGAATATTTAAGAAAAGTTTAAGAAAACGTTTCAACCTATCTGAAGCACTAATTCAGCTGAGACCCTGAAATCAATAGTTTATATTTTCTCCAGCCGTTGCAGCAATGCACCAGTAAATATTAATGATTCTTAATACTTTTGCTTTAAGTAGAAGTAAACATTTTAAAATATTTCATGGAAAATATAATTGTCAGCATCTCTTCAGCTTAATAAATGATACTTCTCTTAGGAACATTTATTATGGTAAAGTTATTTTTTCTTATAGGTCACTTATTTTGGATGATTTTTTTTTTAAAAAAACAGCTCTTTTTTCTGTGTTATTATACAACTAATTGTTGCAGTTATGGCAGTTGCAATGAAAGGTTCGTGACATGTAAATGAAAGTAATAGTTAATAGGAGACCATTAAAACACTATATAATGATGAGCAATGCAGAATCTATATTACAATGAAGTCAAGGGAAATTTCAGAATTAACTTGCAGCTCATGAGTTCGATAACACCATGCAGTTTTTAATAAAGAATGGTTATCTCGTTCATTCCAAAAGCCAATATTAGTTTAGTTTGATTTTTATTGATATTAGGCAGCTAGAGATTGGAGAACTGAATTTGAAAAGCATGAACTTTTCCCCAGAGAAAGAACCTTGAATGTTGCTCTTATTAGGAAAAGACAGGGGAACTCTTTTCCATTAAAAATTTTTTTGGCACTGCAGAGTTGGAGAATGAATCATATCCAAACTTGCCTCATTTGCCCTTGCTCTCTCCCCTTGCCTTTAATAGGCAGAATATGGCAAAACCTAGCTCAAGATGTTTTCTGATTTATAGTTTCAAAAGAAATTGATACAGTGGTAATCAAAAGTGAAGAATGTAAACATCAGTAATTGGTCTTGGTTGATTCTAACTATTGGCCAATCTAACCAAAGTTCATAGTTTATGGTCAGTCCTCCAGTAGTATCTCACTATACCAGGGCTGTCAAACTCATGTCCCACGGGCCAGATGCATCACGTGCTAGCCATGCCCACACCTGGTTTAGTGAAGGGAGGAAAAGTCATGATATATCATGTGATGATGCCATGATGATGCGAGTTTGACAGCCCTGCACTATAACATCTTCTACATGCAAACCATAGATTTGTGTTAGAACCCAACTGAGGTCAATGAAGAACAACAGTTATTTTAAAAAAATAGTTGAAAGCTTTAAAAGTTTACTGGCTAGTCAGATGTGTGAATTATTTTTTTAAAAAAATACGTTTGAATTCTATATTTGAAATTTATGTGAACTTCATTAGACTTTCTGATGGGTTGTCTAACTACTGTCTTCCAAGTTCTCAGATTACTTACTATTTGAGACAGATACTACAATCTCATAAGCAGAATGGTTTGTAGGGTTATAATGTTATGCATGCATTTTTAAACAGACCTGGCATATTTGGGATGTATAAATCAAAGTGATCAGTGGGTGGTTATCAATGGTTAGGGTTGTCTGCATCTTGCTGCTGACATTTAGTTGTGTGCTTGCTTGTTTGCATCTACTTTATAGTAGACCTAGCCTTAAAAGTATTTTTAAATCTGCAGAACCATCTTCTATGTAAATATGGATGCAATCAAGTTGTTAATTTATTATCAGCAGTCAGTTTCCAGTTTATTCTTTTAGAAGTTAATTCCCAACACATAAATTTAGATATAGCTGGCTGTGGCCATCTCATCAAATCCCCAGATACCAGAAGCTGCTTTCATCTCATTGTCCAAAGGAGACTTTTAAATAAATGTTAAAAAGTGATGTTTATTCTGTTTTTCTATCTAAAAAAATATACTCTTCTGGCAATTCTATCCTTATCTTGTCAGTAATTCTTGATGGATAAAATGAAAAGCTTTCTTGAATTGTGTGAAAGTAATCAATTCTCGATCACCTCTAGCTGATCCAGATGAATGCTTGAGAATAGGTTTTCTAATCAGGAGGGGAATGGTCTTAACAAGAATTTGGCAATCAGCAGTAGTCAGTGGTATTGGCCTGCCTTAAAGCTGCCACCAAAGATTTCCTGTTTACTTATTCAAGAACTGTTGTAATTAATGTTTCTCTCATTCCTTTGGCAAGGCAGCTCTTATTGAGGACTCATAATGTCTCTTGCACGCAGTGGAGCTCAGCAGATTCTAGAAAGATTTACTAAAGCTTGCAAATCCCCCAAATTTTAAGACTGCTCTTCACACTCAAATTACATTTTGTTTTGAATTATGCAAAGCTCTGCCATTATGAAACTGCACAAACACACACACACACACTCTACTTTAGAAAAAAAAAGAGAGAAAAAAGTTTTGACTGTTCTTCAGGTGACATCTCTCTTTAATTCTGTGACGTTGCAGGTATCTGCCATCCAATGTGTATGCATGGTGGGAGATGCACCAGGCCCAATGTTTGTGACTGCCCATTTGGCTGGAAAGGAAAGCATTGTAGTATACGTGAGTATATACGTGATTCAAATATACTATTTGTTGTTCGTTCAAGTGCACCAGCACAAATGGTAATCTGCTTTAAAGCTAATTATTTAGTTTGGCTGTTTTTGGAACTTTGAAAGGGGTTATGTTTTGGTCAGTGGTGGGCTGCAACTGGTTTAACAACCGGTTCTGCGAGTGTGTGCTTTGCACGCACAGTGTTCCAAATACAGCAATTTGAAGTTCAGCTGCTTACCTTCTAGGGCAGCACCTAGAAGGTGAAACAACTAAGTAAAACAACTGAGGCATGAAAATCAGCTGTGCTGTCTGAATCAGGTGAGCCAGAAAGATGGAAATAGAGGATAGGGCAGGCCCAGGTGGCTGGGGCCAGCTGATGGTCGGAACTACCGGTTCTTTAGAACCTGTCTGAACCGGCAGTAGCCCACCACTGGTTTTCGTCATTCAAATCAGTACAACATTTTAGGCTTCCCAGTGTAACCATAAAAGTCCTTCATTTCTGTCTGGCAAAAACTGTCAGCCTTTTAGGCAACTTTTAAAGTTGGTTATTCCTGTAGGCCTAGGGACTCCAGAGATGCATGAATTAGTGCGGTAGCTCTGCTATTTTTAACTGTCCTTGCCTAAAAGATTGTTTACATGGTAAACAAGGCTACTTTACAACCACTATGCCACTCAGCGTCCTACAAAGGGCACTGATCTGATTAAAGCACCATTTAATAACCTCATGTTCAGTCTGAAATTAATGGGTTACTCTGTTAATCACTCAATCAATTAAGGATTTCAGACTTAATAGAAAATGAAAATTTAATGACTAGGGAATCTGCCTTTGGAGCAAATCCATGATGAAACTAGAAGTCAGAGTAGCAGAGATTAAGGGGGGAACTTGCTAATCATGGACATTTCGGAATGCTAATTGCCTCATGAAGAATGCTCATTAAGCTCTTTTGAGATCAAGCTATTTTGAAAATAATTGTAGGAAGCAAAGATGACATATCACTCACTAAAGTGACTTAAAACTCACGGGTCATCATAAAGATCTTATTTTCTCTCTCCACCTTTATTTTCTTTTTCAGCTGTGTGTCTACCCAGCTGCACGAATGGGGGTGAATGCATAGGGCCTAATGTTTGCCAGTGCTCAGGAGGATGGGCAGGCCTCGTATGCCAAATTCGTAAGTAGTTTTTTGGGTATGGCTATCTTTTCTCTTTGCTTTTTGTCTCTGTTTAAAAAGTTGTTCCAACTATGGATGGATGCAATTTTACTTTCTTCCATGTTTTGCTTTCTTCCATATTTTGCTTTCTTCCATATTGTTTGAGAAAGAAGATAAAGTTATGTTCATATTGTTTATGATAAAATGGAAATATGGCTAAGTTTTTAAAAAGCACATTTTGATAACAGAGTAAGCCAGATTTCATAGATACCACTGCTTCCAGAATTGATAAGACCATGCCATTTTGCATTACAGCTGTTAAAAGATGAGGATCTAGTAGGAAAAAAGAAGTGGTAATGCCAGCTCAGTGTCATAAAGATGGTTAATTAGATGGGGTTTGAAATTCAGCAGTTCAACAGCTAAACATTCAAAGCCATGATGAATGAATTTGTCTGTTTGGCCTTGTCTTCTATCATCATCATCATCATCATCAATCATTGTAAACTACTTCAGGATTTCTTCTAATGGGAAACAGTGTGAAAATGTTTTAAACAAACAAATAATATAATTATATTATTTATATTTTGTTTCTGGATTAATGTTCAAGTTTTGATAACTCCTTGTCAAAAATGAATTACACATTTTTTACTATTTCATCCTTCCAATTAATAATTACTAAATAAGAAAAAATATTAGGGTGCGTAAGAATCTTTTAGGATCCACATTTTTAAGAAAATGGAATTGACTAACCCGGCTGTAGGTTTTAGGTGATTCCAGCTTATTGGGTTTTACATTCAAGACTTGATTGAGAAGTTTGAGACACTGGTTTGAAATGAAAGCTATCTTTGTATAAATCTGTAGAACTTGGAAATGTTAAATTATGCCACACTAGTCTTGTTTAGATTATTATTAGTGAATGTATAAGGAAGAGAATAGTGTGTGGCCTCTATCTTTGAACCCACTACAGAGGATGGCAAATGATACATTTATTCTCATGTTCACTTGGATCAATTTGCTTTCCTTATCAACAAAGTCTGGAGTCATTCAATTGGTTATGCATGTCCAATTGATAAATACGTTTTGTCTTGCATCAGTAAATACATTCCATTTAATGTGCTTTAATTATATATTAAACTTCTCTGGCACTTAACTTTGTTGCTTATTACTATTGTTGTATGTACATTGAGAGCTTATGCACCGGAGACAAATTCCTTGTGTGTCTAATCACAGGAGAATTCTATTCTATTTATTTGCAATAGCGATATTAGTATGTTGTTCTGTAAGGATAGCTTTTTTTATTTTCTTCACATGTTCCTCTGACACAGGGGTCTTCAAACTTGACAGCTTTAAGACTTGTGGATTTCAACTCCCAGAATTACTCCTCAAGTCATGTTAGCTCAGGAATTCTGGGAGTTGAAGTTTTAAAGTTGCCAAGTTTGAAGATCCTTGCCCTAACATATGGATCAACAAAGCATGCATGTAAAGCAAACATATAGCAGTCCCAATAGAAGACTGCTTTATTGCTTTAAGATATTACTTGATGATACCCTATCACCTTTAAGAGCCATAGTGGTGCATTGGTTAGAATGCAGTGTTGCAGGCTAATTCTGCTGATTGCTAGCCATTCGATTCTCACCAGGTCAAAGTTGACTCAGCCTTCTATCCTTCTGAGGACCTAGATTGTTGCTGACTTTGTAAAGCACTTAGAGAGTGCTATAAAGGACTGTGAAGGGGCATATAAGTTTAAGTGCTATTGCTATTTCTCTGTACTTGCCATTCTTTTCATTAGAATAATAATATATTATTCATACAACAATTTCTTTAAAAAAAATTAAAGGTATGAACTAAAAATACAAAGTGAGATGGAAAGGAAAACCTATCTTATATTTTATACTTATCAATTGTCTCTGCTATAATATGGACAATACTAGAGATTACTGTAAAGTATCGCAGAATCTGCCATAGTAAAACATATTGCTGGATTTTTTAATCATTAGAAAATTTTGTTTTCTCTAAAACAGATCACATTTCTGGCAACTGTTCCTCAACATCTGGAATGAGATGACTTTTCTAATTTCTTAATTATAATTATTTGTGCTGCCCCTCCTCTATGTTTGATACAACTACAATTCCTGATAGTCAAATCCCAAAGCTCTGGTATATTAACATTAATTAACTTCTTTAATATTTAAAGATTTTCCCATAAATTTACTAATATACATAATATATGAGTAATATACTACATAATAATTCTATATATTAGTAATACTAATGTACAGAAAGATGGCAAATGACCAGATGACCATATCATATAGGTGAAAAAACACCATTTTTTTTTTTACAAAGTAATAGAACATATCTATTAGGGCTCCGAGAAAGCAAATAAGATTTATTTCAATTTACCTTATGACAAGTATGCTTTCCAAAATACTGCACAACTTTATAAAATTAGGCAAAGGAATTGAGTACTGATCTAAAGTTCCCAAAATATCATCAATATACAGGAATAATTTGTACACTATCATTGCAATACCCTGAATATCTAAAGATTCCTTTACCATAGAGGTTCAAAAATCAAATTAACTAGCAAAAGAGAGAAAATGGACAGCCCTTCCATATATCACATTGCAAGTGAAAAAAGTTTAAATTCATTCAGTTGGTTATTACTTTGGCAAAAGGTGGCAGATAACAAATCAAATTAAATATAGATGACAAAGTTCTGTGGAAAACCGTATTTAATCATCACTTCTTTTAAAAAATGTAATCCAAACTGTTATGTCTTGGGGACCGGTTGGGGTTTCCAATCAGTTCCGTTCTTTAAGCGGGAGCACGAGCAGCTCCCATTGGCTGGCTCCGTTTGACAGTCGGCTATAAAAGCCGGCTGTCGGGCTGAGCCAGTTGTCGTTCGCTAGCCAGGTCTGCCTGTTAGTAAGCAGACGCGACGACCCTTTATTCCTTGAATAAAGCTTGTTCCACTTATGCTCTGGTCTAAGCCTCTCATTACTTCGATCTACAACACTGGCGATGAGGATGGGATCGGAAGGCTAGCCAGAAGCACTCAAAGAGAGCTGAAGTCATGGAATAACAAGCGCTGAATCACAGCCGTATCGCTCACAAGGAGCTCAGGCTCAGATCGCTGCCGCCCCAGAGAGAAAGTCACGAGCATTGTAGCCGCTCGAATTAGAATGCTACAGCAAGTGAAAGTCGGGCGCTGAAGCCGCAGCCGCCCGCGCTCGCAAAGGAGCGCCCAATTAAGTCACGAGCGTTGTAGCCGCTCGAGTTAGAACGCTACAGCTAGTGAAAGTCGGGCGCTGAAGCTGCAGCCGCCCGCGCTCGCAAAGGAGCGCCAAATTCAAACCGCTGTCGTTTGAATTCAGCCACTCAAGCGAAGTTCGGCACTGTAGCCCACAGTCGCCAACGCTCTCTAGGGAGCGCGAAATTTGAACTACTGTCAGTTACAGCGCTTTAGCCACAGCCGCCAAATGCTCGCAGAGAGCGCGAAATACGAACTGCCTCCTTGAGGCTGGAATCACTGAGCAAGTTAAGGGCGCTGCAGCCACAGCCGCCAACGTTCCCGGTTAGCAATAAGACAGGGCCACGCACACCCAGTGAGACAAACCAGTCTGCCAAGAGACTGAGTGATCCATAATGAATGTCAATTCGGCATTCCCACCATTCAAACCTGATGAAGAAAAATGGGATTCGTACAGGAATCGCTTCAACCACTTTATCGATGCCATCGGATTGGCTGATGCTACAGAGCAGAGGAAGAAATCCTACTTCCTCAGCTACTGCGGGGCTGCAGTCTACGATACCGCCGCAGCACTATTGGCACCTCGAGAGATCAAGAATGTTCCATGGTCTGAGCTGTTGGAAACACTTTCCAACCACTATTCACCGAAACCATCCCAGATCGCTAGACGTTTTGCATTCAGAATGAGGAAGCAAGCCGAGGGGGAAACCATCAACCAATACATGGCCGCCCTGAGGACAGCAGCTCTTCACTGTGAGTTTAAGAACTATCTGGACGACATGCTGCTCGATCAACTCGTCTGTGGGGTAAGAGATCTTAGGCTCCAAAGACGGCTGTTGGCCAGGAAAGATTTGAACCTGCCCCAGGCCGTTGAGGAAGCCTTAGCTGCTGAACTCTCAACCCAGTCTGCAGCTGAGATCCAGGGCACCACACCCAAGCCCAGCACTTCCTCCATACACTCTGAAGAAGTGGTGAGCGAAGATGACCCTACTGAATACTCTGACATCCATTGCCTCAAGCCGGTGAGACAGTCGCAGGTAGGAACCAGGCAGAGAAACAACAGCGGCCCGAAACAGACTCTTCTGTGCCTGACCTGTGGAGGTTCCCATGCCCGGCCATCTTGCAGGTTCAAAAACGCCAGCTGCCACAACTGTCACAAGAAAGGCCACCTCGCAAGAGTCTGCCAAGCAGCGCGTGTTTTTCCACAAAAATCTCCGTCTTCTCCTGGTTCCCAAAGGCAAGTAGAGAGCTGCTATACTTGCTACCACGCTAATCACACGTTTCATACCCCCAATAAAATAACACTTTCTGTCTCCTTAGAAGGTAAACCCTGCCGCATGGAGGTGGACACGGGGTCAGCGCTCTCAATCATCTCCTGGGACACGCTTAAGGAGATCCAGCCCAGGCTGGCTAGGAAGCAACTACAAAGGTGCAGCCTCACCCTGAGAGACTACCAAGGAAAGAACATCCCTGTCCTCGGGAAAGGCAAGTTCCTAGTCCAATTCAAAACCTTTAAAGGCCATCTGCCTTTGGTGGTTGTTAACGGTGCCCTCCCTAGTCTTTTGGGGTTGGATTGGTTCCCCTCTCTTGGCCTTAGTGTAACGGGGGTCCATGCTGTCTCAACTTCCGATACTGACTCCTTATTCTCAGACTACGCTGACATTTTTAGTAGCAAGTTAGGCTGTTATAATGGCACGCCCATTTCCTTCTCAGTAGACCCCCAGGCAACTCCCATCTGCCTAAAACCACGTAGGGTACCATTCGCCAT